TTTTAAGGGCACTTCTGCTTTCCATGCTTCGGTATTTTATGCTGTCATTTTATTTTCAAAATGTTTATTCTACTGTATTCGTGTAATCACATCTTAAGTTTGTGATGTTATCCAGGTCCTGAGAAGGATGAGCAAGGTCCACCAGGTAAGCAACTGATATGCAGATTTCTTATCTTTGAAGTTTTGTTTTTCTTGACCACATTCTATTCTCTTGCTGAATCAGCATCATTATTTATGTTTATTAAAACCTTCTTGATTAATCTGATTAACACTTTGGGTTGATTTCTTGCGCTGTGTTCTCTTTTGGTCTCGCAGATGGTAACAAGTACAGAGGTGGAATTTACATGGTTTTTGAATACATGGACCATGATTTGACTGGTCTAGCCGATCGTCCTGGAATGAGATTTTCAGTGGCACAAATAAAGGTACGACAGTTAGTGTGAAGATTCAAGATTATTTAATCTCTGAATGTCAGATGCTTCTGGTGGAAAAGAAGAGTGACAATCAGATAATTGATTTTCATGTTCTTTCTTTTCTTTAGTGCTATATGAGACAGCTTTTGACAGGGCTTCACTACTGTCATGTAAATCAAGTACTTCACCGTGATATTAAAGGTTTAATTTCAAAACAAGCATCCAGCTTTAGTTTTTCATCCATTTTATGAGGCTAACATTTAGGTGTACTCAATTTTTTTCTTGCAGGTTCTAATCTTTTAATAGACAATGAAGGAAACTTGAAGCTCGCAGATTTTGGTCTTGCCCGGTCGTTCTCAAGTGATCACAATGCTAATCTTACAAACCGTGTAATAACTTTATGGTATAGGTAAGCTTCACAAGAGATCTAATGTTTCATCTTAAATTAAACAGAATTAGTTTCTCAGCAAATTGGATCTCTCTTGAATGATTTTAATCTCCTAGGATTCTGTTGATAATCGTGACTTAAATTTTGTAGGCCACCAGAGTTGCTCCTCGGTGCCACGAAGTATGGTCCAGCTGTTGACATGTGGTCAGTTGGTTGCATCTTTGCTGAACTTCTACATGGGAAACCAATCTTTCCAGGGAAAGATGAGGTAGCTGAGTTTTACTATTGGTTAAGACTCTAAAGTAAACTTTGTGAAAAAGGTCAGAATTCTTGATTCCATTGATAGAATAATCGAGAGATTATATTTCTCTCGGTCCTTGGATATCCTAAATCTAATAGTAGGAAGAACAAAACTTCTAGGTCACATTAATTAAAGAACTCCTACATTACAAAGAATTTGATTAAACTTAAAATACATAACCTTATCCTAATTGAACTAGGATTCCAAGAGTGCAGATATAGAACACCAGGTCAATAATAGTTTTGAACATAAAATAAATTCTAGAATGTGTAGAATTATAGAAATTCTTTTGATGCACCTAATTGATAAATTATCAAATTGTGTCGATTTGCCAAAAGTTCCATGCTGGAGTGCCATGATGATGATTAATTAAGTTGCAAAATTGTCTCTACACTGGATATGGGTTCATCGAAAATTACAAGCCAGCTTGGGTAACTGAAAACAGTTAAAATAAGACTCAAAATGGATAGGTCCCATGTTTATTAGTATTGAGTAATACGATAACAGTAAGAGGCATTGATGGGGGTTTCTCAGTTCAGGCCGAAGAAGCAATTCCACTTTTTTCTTTAAAATCAAACTGACTACAATATTTTCTGTATGCAAAGACCCACAAGAGTATCTTCCACTGCTAATAGGCTATCTACTAGATCAGAATTGCTCTCGATGAGGACGTGATCCCAATTTTCTCTTCATGTCTGGATAGAGACAATTTTAGTTCATATTAAAATATTACCATAATTGCCATAGGCATGTGACTTTCCTATATTTTCTAGTTCTTTTGGTTAATATGTCAATAGTTTTTTCAATTTTTTCGGTCATCTATTCCTACTGTGCTATTGTAGTTATTTTGTTGTTTTTGTTTATAGCCAGAGCAATTGAATAAAATTTTCGAGCTCTGTGGGCCTCCGAACGAGGATATTTGGCCTGGGGTTTCAAAGATTCCTTGGTACAACAATTTGAAACCATCAAAGCCAATGAAAAGACGTCTTAGAGAGGTTTACAGACAGTAAGTAATAAATGTGTCGATTGTCATGTCTGTTGAGTTGATTAATTTTGTATCCTAATTTAAATTAATTTGATGTATATATCTGCTAATTATAGCTTTGACCGGCATGCGTTGGATTTACTCGACAAAATGCTGACTCTTGACCCATCTCAGGTACCATCTCATATAAGTTTTACCTTTCTCTTGAACTTTGTTCATAGATTTTTACCTCTTTGTGCAATACTTTCTCAAGATCTTGGCACTTGCTCTTATTTGCACATATGAATTTAGTAGATAGGTGCATATAGAATTTGTAGCTCCTGACATTATGCCTTCTCATGATTGACTAATTGATTATTAATCTTGTTAAGTTTATTATTCTTTTTTAATATTCTGAAGCTGCGAAGGATGTTCTTGATGCCGAGTATTTCTCAGTATCACGTATGGAATTTGTTGCTGACATGATGATATACTGTTCCGTGATTGGCTAATTGATTGTCGTGAAACTTGTGTTGCTCATTAACCTTTATTAAGGTTTTTTCTTACTATTTTATTCTACTTCAATTCTGAAGAGAATATCAGCAAAGGATGCTCTGGATGCTGAGTATTTCTGGACAGACCCATTACCATGCGATCCCAAGAGGTTTAAACCTCTGAACCCTTTCTGTGTCCTTATTTATTCTAAAGCAGTTATTCTATTTCGGGTAATGAAGAACTAGTTCCTTATTTAGGGCTTGTTTGGCACCCATTCTTTTGAAGAATGAGTTTTTGAATAGTGATTGATGTAAAGAATGTGTGGTTAAAAAGTAAGAAGAATTTTTGGGTTTATGTTTAATATTATTTTATTTGGAGAATGTGTAGATTGATGTAAAGAATGTGTGGTTAAAAAGTAAGAAGAATTTTTGGGTTTATGTGTAATATTATTTTATTTGGAGAATGTGTGGTTAGAAATGAGTACTGTAGAAAAATGAGAATGAGAATGAGATAAAAAAATGGGTGTCAAACGGGGGCTTAAATTTGTGATGATCATGACTATAGCTACTTTTCTTCCTTTTCATTGTAATTTAACTCATTTTTGTCATAAATATTCTTTCTGAACAAAATTCTAATTGTGTATCATTTGCGCCTTACCTTTTTCACTGGAATTGTCTCTCTTAGTTTACCCAAATATGAATCTTCACACGAGTTCCAGACAAAGAAAAAGCGTCAGCAGCAGCGCCAACATGAAGAAAATGCAAAACGCCAGAAACTACAACACCATCAACAGCATTCTCGCCTTCCACCAACTCAGCAGGCTGGACATGCACATGCTCAGATGCGACCCGGTCCGAATGCACCAATGCATGGGCCACAACCTCAGGTAGTTGGAGGACCGAGCCATCATTATGGAAAGCCACGGGGACCTTCACAAGGACCCGGCAGATACCCTCCTGGTGGAAATCCTTCTGGAGGATACAACCACCCAAATCGTGGTCAAGGTGGAGGTTATGGTAATGGTCCGTATCCACCTCAAGGAAGGGGACCTCCATACGGTTCAAGTGGCATCCCGGGTGCTGGTCCTCGAGGAGGTGGAGGTGGTGGCTATGGCTCCGGAGGTCCAAATTATCCCCATGGTGGTCAATATGGGGCTTCTGGAACTGGACGTGGCTCAAACATGGTGTCTGGGAACCGGAATCAACAATATAATTGGCAGCAATGACATGCATCCGTACGAATGGCTTTGTTCTGAAATTCAATAATGATATTTGTGTTCTCTTTTCGATCACAGTGGATTGTTGTACTCACCGGCGGACAGTCATTGACGAGGGTGGGCTGCCGAGTGTTATCTGTAAAACGTAATTATATAAAGACATTGTTGGAGTGGACATGAGAATGCATCATAGACGTTATTTTAGTGCATTATTATTTTGGACAAAATATACATAATTGCTTACATATGAAATCTGTTGGTCTTGTAACGAAATGTCGTAGTGGGAGTTCTTTGGAGCTTATTATTTTAAGCACCGATTCAGATCTTAACCAAATTATATATAATGGTAGTTGCAATCTCATATATTCGATCATTTTTCCACTAGAATTCTGATATAAAATAGAGAGCATATTGTATTTGGAGAGTCTTTGGACGACGCTATTAAATTATGCTGAATTCATTTGGAGTGCATTCTCTATATAGTTAATGGTCGGGAAATAAATTGGAAAGCATTTAAGGTTCGACCTACTCGTGTATAACATGATTTGAATCTTGAATCTAATATATAGAAGCAATTTCTTTCGAAGCTCTTATAGCTCGAGGTGGATATGAATTTCTCATTACTAGAACTTCACGGGAAAATCACGAAAATGATGAATTTTGAGCTTGAGCTTGACCATTACATAGAAAGACACTAAGAGGACAACGTTTTCGACTTGTTTAGACCGTGACAAGTAAAAACGAAGTCCTATAGAGGAATCTGATTACAAACAATTAGAGTAGGACAACCATGTGCAATTCAGCCGGCCCGCTAAAATATTATTGGACTGATTGTCCCCATTTTTCTGTAATCTCGCATTACTATATTCGGTACACAGAACTTGACCGTCTCTCTTTCTAATTCTTGTTCAGTTACGTTACAAACTAGACTATAGAGGTTACCACCTTGAAAGACTTACCGAAGGTAATATCGATTGTATCTGAATGCCAATCATGATATCAAAGAACTCCAAAATTGTTTTCCTCTAACTACAATATTTGTTATCAGGAAAACTGCAAGTGCAAATCTCTCCCTTCCCTTTTTTTGTACACTGTAGCTTTAGGAAAGCAAACTAGATTACTTTTTCTTCACAGGTTTTTTATGTCAAGAAAATCATAGAATTCTCCACTTTCAAGCACCTGGGCACAATTGGAAGAAACAATAGATTATTCTCCTCAAGGTGATGCAAGCCGATAAGATCGAACAGTTGCCTGGACAACCTGATATGGTGGATTTTGATCAGTGTGTAGGGTATGTTACGATTGATCCAAAGGCTGAAAGAGCGTTGTTTTATTACGTTGTCGAGTCTGCAGTGAATTCATCATTTATCCCGCTGGTTCTATTGTTAAATGGAGGTAATGAAAATGGCTAAGAAGATGCTATGTATATGTTAATATTGTCCTAATAACTTCCTTTATGCGATTACGAAGAAAACAGTACTGGACAAGATTGTATAGTACAGTTTCTTCTTTTATCCGATCAAGTTTTGTTCAGTTCAGCGAATCAAACATGCCTTTTAGTATTTTGCTGAAGTAAAAAGAGAGATTTTGTAGTTCAATATGGCCCTGAAGGGAGAAATGGACGGACGTATTTAAAACACAATATTATATTTAATCTCATTCAGTGTTGTCCAGTCTAGCATATCACCATAAGTATTGCTATAACTCTCTGGTCATATAAAGATTAAGTTAAACTTTTGTATGTGTGATTAACAGGTCCAGAATGTACCTCCCTTGGATATGGAGCTATGGAAGAATTAGGCCCTTCTAGAGTCAATAGCGATGGAAAAACTCTTTTCCCAAACTGTTAATACTATAACACAAATTTAACTTTTTTTCTTCTTTAATATGATTATTATCGAGTACTGTAGAGTCCACCCTACCAAATGAGCCATCAAATTTCTCGTAATTTTAAATAAGTTTGGTTTCTGAATCTTGAATCCCCTTGGATTCCCTGCTGTGGCAAATGTGATTTTCTTGGAGTCACCAGCTGGGGTTGGTATTTCGTCCGTAAAAACTCTTCTCCTTTTAACACCGCAAGTGATAAGAGACTGCAAATGATACCTGTACTTTTCTTATCAACTGGTTTAAGAGGTTTCCTCAATACGAAACCCAGGATTTTTACTTAATTGGAGAGAGTTATGCTGGTCATTATGTGCCTCAACTTGCATTCGCCATACTGCTCAACAAGAATAATTGAAATAAAACTGTTATCAATCTGAATGGCACTGGCGTAAGTTCCATACATAGGTATACACATTTTTTGCTCGTTTCAGATTCTACAGCACTCTTGCTGGATTTTCATCGTTTGTATTTTTCAGATAGGAAATGCATTAAACAGCACCAGGGATTTATGATTATTTTTGGACACATGCTTTGAACTCAGATGAAACATATAGTGGAATTGTACAATTTTGTGGTTTGCTGAATGGAAATGTATCTGATAGATGCTGGAGTTACGCAGACAAAACCCCTGAAGAAATGAGAAATATTGAGATAAATAAATTCTATACTCTGGTTAGCCTAAACAAGTATCATAGAAACTACTCCGGTGGTTCTGTGAACCATTTTGTGATTTATTTCCTGCTGTACTGAGTCAACCTCATGATTATAACTTCATTCCCGAGCTTCTCACCGATTTAATCAGGTTAGCTACTTTAATCCATGCTCAGATACATACATGGAATACTACTTGAATAATGCAAACGTGCAAAGCGCGCTCCACACCAAGCGCTCAAATTGGACTGGCCGACCTGCTGCAGGTACATATGAACAGACTGAGCAACTTAAAATAGCATTGATAAAACATGCTCTTGTGGATTAAGCTTCACATACAGATTTATAGTGATTCACTCTCAACATAAGAGTCATTTACACCTACTGGCACACATTGACATTGTATCTATATTGGAGCAAAATATGTACAAGAGTTATCCTCATGTCTCTCTCTGTGTATATCTGTCTTTTGAGCAAACAAATCTATTATATAATCTGAATAAAAGGTGAAGAAAGCAATGGATGTGATAAGTATACTTGTATAATTAGGTTTCACCCAGTCCAACACAGACGTCTTCATTAATGTGACCTCTTATGTTCTTGTTATTGCAAACCTTATAACTGGATGGACAGCCCGGACACAATTTTGCCATTAATCAAGGATCTCATTGGAAATGACACGAGGGTCTAGATATACAGGCAAGTTTTATTCTTAAAGGCATTCCTCAAATTGGATTTCATCGATTACTACTATATTGTTTATGTCGAACTGACAGATAATGTATTTTGTAGTGTGACATCGATGCAAATGTTTCTGTTACATCATTAATATGCTCGATAAGCAGCCTTATGCTTCCATCCCAGAAAGCTCGGTGCCCATGGGGATGTCAGCTGGGTATTTGGTTTCAAGTTACCAGCCACAGAGGTAATTTCAGCATCCCCTCACGGGGGCAGGAAAATTCACCGAGAGAGAATTAGACTAAGCCCTTGTTTGGTGGAAAGTAAAATCAAATTTTTAACCGATGATAAAAGTTGATAAAATATGTATTTGAAAAGTTGTGAATCACATGAAATATATGATTAAAATTAATTGTTGATTTTAATTAAAATTAAAATTTTAATTTTAATTTCTACCAAATAAGGGCTAGACAATATTTAGGAGGATATTGACATGGACCTAAGAATAAGATCTTCAGCAATTTCATCATAGTGCACACAAGTGCGATACACATACACTTGTAAAAGCAACCTGTCTAATAGAAGGAAAACTGCCAGCAACAAAGTTTACCGTCTAACATGTTCAGTCATCAAAAACATTAACGAAAACCTGCATGTATCTCTGCTGAGACACACAAATCACAGGTATGTAGTTTACAACCTTAAAACCAACACAACGAAACATCATAGAACTGTTTCTGGTTTATGAAGCCAAATATGATGTTCCCCACAGGTTTTTTTCAGAACTGTGACAACTTTGTTCACAGCAGAAGCAACTATGGCAATTACAAATGTTGTTCAAGACAAATGAAATTTGAGATTTCATTGGTTACGTGAAGTTGGCTAGGCAGTAGACATCGTATTCCATGCACCAGAATCGTGTCCGTGCCCTTGAGCTGATGAACTAGTTGGAGTGTCGATTTGTTTGCAATCCTTGACCAAATCATCGCCAATAAATGGTCCAAATGCATCTTTCAGCAAGGAATAGTCCTTGGTCCGGTCTTTGTTAAGACCGGAACAGCTCGAGGCAAGCAAGAAATCTGGTCGGGAGAAGATCATCTGGTTCTCTGTATCAGCTGATGTTTCCTTAACTTTAAATCCTTCAAATAACGTGGGACTTACATAAGTACAATCTCAAAAAGAAAAGAATACAATTCTGATATACCAAATAAATATTCAGACCTGGCAAGGTCTCTGCTGATGGGGGTTCGTCCAATGAATTCCCACTCATGGGGGTGTACTCACTGAACACCGATGAAGATGAATGACCAAAAGGAGAGATTGGGTCGCCATATGCTTCCCATTCCGTCTCGTGGAATTCGAGAGATGAAGTATCCAGTGCATCAACAGGCATGGTGGAAGCAGGTGAAGTCGGCTGGCAAGAATTCCTCGATTTTTTCTTAGTTTGGGATTCATATAGTACAGCATCCAAAAGTCCGTTGTTTCGAGGTGAAAAACTACATGATTGAGTATGTTCGGTCGGAGGGGATTGGATTAAAGTATCAACTGACTCAAGAGAAGGCAGTGGAGAATATGGTGAACCCCAACTACCTATTTGAGTTTGGAGTGAAGGGAGCTCCATCTTCATTGCCCAAGCAGGCTCTGAAGAAGAAGGATTGCCATTTGTAATGGCATGGCTGCCAGGAATTAAGCTCGAGGATAATGCATGGTTGGAAATTGAATCATGACCATACGCAGAGGAAAACCCAAATGATTGAACAATCTGCATAGAACCATCGTCTGGATATTGACTGCCAACTGGGAGTATGCCCCCACTAGTGGCACCTACACCAGAGAACATAGATTCTGGTCCTTGAGGATGCTTGGAAGGATGCATTGTAGACAGGTAAGACCTGCTCGGACAAGAAGAGTCAAGACCTTCTACAAGCAGGCCACTTGCAGGAATATCGAGTAAGCCATTAGCAGGAATGTCAAAAAGGGCAGGTGAATACAACTGCCGATTGAGTTCTATACCATTAAATTGAGGAATTTCGAAGACGTTCATAGGCATTAAGTCAGAATGTCTGATGTCTCCAGATGTGAAATTATCCATGTTCTCGTTGTGTTGGTTCTCATTTAATGCTTGCATACAGATATCAGGAGGATAGATTGGTAAGCCAGCACGCTGTCTTCTTTTGATTCTAGTGTTCCAGTAGTTCTTGATCTCATTATCAGTGCGCCCAGGCAACTAAATACAAAAAGATAAGAGAAATGAATTAGAATTAGAAAATCCTGAGGGAGTAGTGCAACCAAATGCAATATTATTTTGAAAGCATGTACAATTTCTGTGATGATCTTTGGGCACCTTTGGTGACGTGTATTAGATACCACTGGATAATACTAAGAGCTTGTTTGGGAGGAATTTTTGGGAGAAAAATTGATTTTTGAATAGTGATTTGATGAGAAATGTGTGGTTGAAAAAGAAGAAAAAATTATTGATGTGATGGACCATATTATTTTCTTAAAGAATGTGTGGTTGAAATTGAGAATTGATTTACTGTAGAATTTGAGAATCTCTCCCAAACACCTCCTAAGAAAGAAAAGAAGAAACTAAAATCTTGTTTGTTGTACGTTCTAATACTTCACCAAACATGCACTTTGTTTATTGCGTAGTACTATTAGAAAATGTATATAAGATATATAGAGGAGAATATTTGCAAGCCAAAAAAGCAGAGGATACACTACACTGGTGATGCAACAAGAATGAGTGGGATTTCTTAACACACTTAGAATTCAAATTGTTAAGAGAATGATATACGCATATATGCACTTGCTCTTGGAGAATAAATTAATACACAAGTTACCTTCATTTTCCAAACATCGTGTCATGTAAGGTTGTGTTTGTTTGACACCCATTTTGGAGAAAGAATAAATTCTGGAATAGTGATTGATGGAAAAATGTGTTGTTAAAAGGTAAGGAAAATTTTTGGGTTTATGTGTAATATTATTTTATTGATAGAATGTGTGATTGAAATGCATAAAGAGAAAAAAAATAAGAAAGAAAATGGGTGTCAAACATGGGCTAAATTGAACAACATAAGAACAAACTTATCAATAAAAAAAAATTGGTAGATGGGAAAATTAAAACATTAACATCTCTCTAGCTACAAAAAAGTATAAACAAGAAGTAAATTTTGAACATAACATAACTGAAACCAAACTGAACCGAGAACCAATAGTTTTTTATAATGGAACCCTTAGTTCCATTGATGATTATGGAACCAAACCAGAAGTGAATTGAATGGTTCCGGTTTGGTTTAGTTTGGTTTAGTTCCATAATCAAAATTTCTAATGAAAAGTTCCGTCTTCGTACTAAATATTGTCTAATAAAAATCATTCACCAAATTAACAAATAAACATAATTAATTTAAAAATGGTTGGGTTAGAACTGGTTCTTGGTTCTGGGTACGAAAACCAAAACCACCTATTTGATTCTAAGAACATTTAAAAAATTTAAGTATAACCAAGGAGGTCAGTTCTAGTTTGGTTAGGTTGGTTCCAGTTCTTCTGTCCAACCCCTAGGTAAGCTGATCATTTTTCTGAATTCAATAGAAATGAAATAAGTCCACCAATGCACATTTTAATATGGTATATTGGATAGATTGTAACCTGAAATACTTACTAATTCTATTCTTTATGTGTGGTAAGAGTTAAGACTATATGATATTGTATAGAAATACAAATGTAGTGAGCTGCATGGACTAACTTGAGGCGTCTTCAAGTAAACTGGTTTACAAAATATACCATCATTTTTGAAAGAACACACTGTTTATGACAGCTGATGCTATGATTATATCTTCATCAATGTAGTTTCATAGTCCCACATATAAGAGTAGGCAAAAATTTCACAGAACCCGAAACCAGACCAAACCCAAACCAGACTGGCTGGTTCTAGTTCTCGAGTTTACTGTACAACGAAAAGAACTGGATTTGTATCTCAGTTCTCCATTTTTCATTGTTATATTTTTTTCAAATTTTTAAAGAAGCGCACAATTTTTTATTGCAGTGCACTTGCCGCACCTAATCTGGACCCTTTTGTCAAGGCAAAAATTGTTTTGTGCAGCCCAGCATTTAACAGACCTGATAACAGTCTATTTCTAGTAAAAACCGCACATGCTCACCCTCCCCACAAACGCCAAAGTAACATTGGACATTCTTACAATCTTATACTAACTGAATATGTGCTTCCCAGGATTAAACAGACATGCTATCAGTCTAGTTCTAGCAAAAACCACGCCATGAGCAGGCTGGAAATTCGTACAACTTTAGAATAAATATATATACATTCACGCACAAGTTGGTGTTTTTGTACATGCCACACGGATCTTTCAAAGAATTCACAGTAAGGCATAGACCATCAGAAAAATAATATTTACCAACAAAATGAGAAGCTAACTTCAAAGTATGATACACACCTCGGTAGCCATTCGAGCCCATTTGTTTCCCATTTTAACATGAAGTTCAATGATACGACGTTCCTCCTCTGGAGTGAATGCGCCTTTCTTTAGATCTGGTCTTAGGTGGTTCGCCCACCTCAAGCGGCAACTTTTTCCACACCGGGCAAGCCCCGAGTGCTTCTGGACTGCATTCCAGTTCCCTTCTCCATGCTTGTTAACATACTCAATTAAAATGGCGTCTTCTGCAGATGTCCAGGGACCTTTTTTTAGTGGACCATTCCCACCCACATTTCCTCCACTATTACCTTCCTCGATGTTTGGCAAATCTAAGCTATTTTTGGATTTCATCTTTTCCTCACTTTCACTTGACATGCCCTTCACCTATTTTGCCAACAAACCAAGAAAAATGATTTAACAGTTCGGTTTCCAAATTGTCAAATCAGAGATGCCAAGATCTAAACATCTAGAACAGTAATAGCCCATCCGGTAAGTTTTGGTTCTTAAATTACATAAAAACATTTTACAAAAGATCATTCATGCAAAAGCATTAACAGAACTAGAAGAAATATTATTATCTAATTTAATTTTGATACCTCAATGCAGAGAAGACGGTCTTAGAAGCTGCAGTGCCTCGTGAATCAAACGGAGCCCAGATTTTAAAATAAAATTCCTTAAACTCAAAATTTAACGTTTCAAATGCAAATCCCAACCTCAAATTATAGCTGTAATCGAAAAACAAGCACAAATCCAGCTGAAAATCTTAAAAGAATACCCAAAAACAGAACAATGCGGATCAAAAATTGAAGAGGAAAGATCAATCTACTATTGCTTTAAGCTATGATTTAGAAAAACCCAGAAAGAAAACACAAAGAAAATTCCAGAAACCCCTTTGTACAAGTGAAGAAGAGATGAAATTGGCCCAAGATCCACTTATTCGAGAGAGGAAAATGAGAAAGACGGAGAGAACGAGATGAAAGAGTCAGCCTATACACATGATAATGAAATTCGAAAAAAGAAGCATTACACGTCAAAATCTGAGTAAAAATCGATGAGAGATTTCAGGGTTGAAGAACACCTCATTTTTCGATATATTTGCAAAAACACATAGCTACCCGTCAATTTGTTTGCAAGTATTTGCATGATTTCTTTGTTTGTATTATCTCATTATGTGTTAATTTCAAAAATTGACCTCTGGGAGAGAGAGGGAGAGAGAGGGGACTGGGATTTCATTCTATCTGACTATATTTGGAATTGAAAATTAGAATTAGAGAACTTCAAACTTATGACTTTAATGTTACTTGTAATTAAAGACATGATATTCTTGACTAGGGAAGTATAGTCCATATATAGGGGCATAAAGTTGGGTCGAGAATCATGTTTGGTCACCTTCACATTAGTATCATTTAAGATATAAGTCAATTTATTTGTAGGATTCAATCGTGTTCAATGTGTTTGAAAAGACGAGTCAATAAGAATTTACTTTTCTTTTTTTGTTATAAAAAATTGACTAATAAATTGTTGGGGATCCGTTTATTAGGTAACTCATCTTGTTTACGTCAACTCATTTTGGGCTTCTTTTTCTCTTGATGGGGTCAATCCTATATGTCACTTCATTTAATTAATTTGTAACGAGTAAATTAGTGTAAATTATTGGAAATAGTTCAACTTCATTTAATTAAATTTGTACATGTAGAGTAAATTAATAATTTATGAACCCCGATCACTTTGGGGATTTATGAACCTCGAACACTTTTGCGAAATAGAGCATCGAGATCTCGAATCTTTCATTCATAGCTTGCTAGTCTCTAATATTTAACCTTTATAGTATTTCTAGGTCTCTAACTGACGAATATTGTCCAAATAAACCTTAAAAGGGTCATAGATATTAATAGAACCTCGATTTAAGCAGCATTTGAATTTACTCGAATGTTTTGAGTAGCTCTTGTATTACTCGTGACCTTTAAAATTGTTGGTAGATGGTTTCAAAATTTCAATTAAGAAGATGGTAGGTGTCAGCCCCCTTGAAGGTTGACATGCACAAAGGCATGAGAATACCTTGCACTCATGTCGGGATGTTGCGGGAAGATGTGTTGATGGTGCACACTTCGAATTTCGGGGAAAGGAAAATGTGAGAATGATGCTTTAATTTGGCTAGTGTCAAAATGTTGTAGATTGGCAAGGCATGTGCTGATCCCACTTGCTGTTCGTGGACAAAGTGTTGCAGATTAACAAGGCATGGGCTGAACCAGCTTGCCGTTAGGGGGCTGAAGTCCATGAATTCGGGTGTTCAAATTGGGCACATATTTGGCACATGTGTTGGGCAGTTTTTGGAGTGCATACTAGTGGAAAGTGTGAACAGTTGTTGGGAATAGTTGTGGGATGCGGTTTCTGGCATATTCTAGCCAACTGGGTTGGTTTATGCCTTGGCAGTTAAGGATGTTGGCTGCACAAGAGTTTTGGACTATAAATTGATGAAGGTCTAGCTGATGAGACACAGAAAAATGTTGTGTTCCTTCTGTGTTCATTTGTATCTTGTATTATTGTTGAGTAATAAAACAAGTTGGGTTTACCTATAATACTGTCTTCCTTTACATTTGCTGCCTTTACTTTGTGTGTATGCATTGTGCAAATCAGTAGATTGATTGAGTGGAACTTCAATGCCATCATAAGCGAAAATTTGGCTAAGTATTTTACTTGGATTTCGTCCCTGTGATAATTGGTATCAGAGCTTCGTTGCAATTGTTGGGTTTCGCTTACAGACATGACTGCAAATCAAATCTCAAGGATCGGGTTTCTGCGTTGGAAGATTTTATTGGTGTCCCTATGATCAACAGTACAGTCAATTTGCCTGCACAGGTCCATGCACATAATGATGTGCACACAGAACTGAGGGCTCAATTCGAAGAGTTTGCTAGCAGAGTTGATGAAAGACAATCTCATTCATGAAAGATTATTTTCGAAATAATCAAAAACAAATTCGTGCTGAACTTTACCAAGGTATTGTAGACAGTGTTCAAAATGGAGAAATAAGAGGGTGCAAAGTTGGAAGAAAATTTATTTTACCACAATCCTTTACTTGTGGGTCTCGTGATATGCTAAGAAGATACATGGATGGAATGACTATTGTGCAACATTATGGAAAATCTGATATGTTCTTGGCTATAATGTGCAATCCAAATTAGCCAGAGATTAGGCACGAACTAAAAAACAATGATAAAGTTCAAAATTGGCCCGATTTAATCGTACGTATATTTAGAGCAAAATTGGAAGAATTGAAACATGATTTACACAAAGCAAGTATTTTAGGCCCTATTATTGTGCATATTTATGTCTTTGAATTCCAGAAAAGAGTACTTCCTCATGCACATATGTTGTTAATATTTAAATCTGGATATAATATCTCTTATGCTGAAGAAGTTGATCAGATAGTATCATGTGAAATTCCTGACAAAAATAAATATTCTCATCTTCATTCTGATATTGTTAAACATAATATGCATGGTCCTTGTGGAAATATGAATCCGAAAAATGTATGCATGGAGGCAAATAAAGGTTGTAAAAATAAATACACAAGAGATTTTTGTAATATTACTATATTTGGTCAAAACTCATACCCATTATATAAGTATCGTGATAGCGGTATTTTTGTTCGAGTTAGAGGTCATATATTAGACAATCGATGAGTCGTACCATATAATCCTTATTTAAGTGCAAAATTTTACTGTCATATTAATGTTGAAGTATGTTAATCTATTAAAACTGTAAAATATTTATACAAATATGTGTACAAAGGACATGATCGTATTAATTTTTCAGTTTGCACAAATGAAAAAGAGAAAGAAATAGATGAAATTTCTGCTTACCAAACTGCTAGATGGATATCTCCACTCGAAGCTACGTGGAGGATTTTTTCCTTCAATCTATCAGAAATTTGCCCGACGGTGTATTCTTTACAGCTCCATATTGAAAATCATCAACAGGTAACGTACGACAATGAAAATGATTTATCTACTGTTATTCGGAATGAAAATACAAGAAAAAAAATGTTGACAGAATTTTTCCAAATGAATGAATCAAATGAGTTTGCTCGTACACTTTTATATCGAGATTTTCCGACACATTTTGTTTGGAATGCAAATAAAAAAATTTGGACTTGCAGAAAGAAACAGGTTGTCACAGGGATGAATTGTCACAGTAAATCTATCTGAAGGAGAACGATATGTTCTTCGTGTTTTTATGAATCATATTCCTGGTCCAACATCATTTTAGGATTTACGAACCTTAAATGGAGTTACTGTTGTTACATATCGAGAAGCAGCGCTTTTAGACGGTTTATTAAGTGGAGATAATCATTGTGAAGAATGTCTATTCGAAACTATTGTTTATGAAATGCCATTTCTTTACGACGACTCTTTGCTACACTTCTTATGCTTTGTAGCCCTAATGATCCAAAATTATTATGAAATAAATTCAAATCTTATATGATTGATGATTATGTACATAAAAATATACATTTACATATTACTGAAATGCGGGCTCTAGAGGATATTAGTTGTATCTTAGAATACTTGGGCAAAAATATAAATGACTATAAAATGGTATCATTCAATGCAGATATAAATGAAAATGATAGATTAAGGAGAATGCTTGAAGATGAGACAACAAATTTGAGTATTGAGGCAGGCTATGTTTGTGCAGCAAGTTTAAATGACAAACAACGATTTGCATATGATACAAATATGGAAAAAATAACAATGCGATTAAGTGGTGCTTTCTTCATTGACGGTCTAGGTGGCACAGGTAAAACTTTTTTGTATAAAGCATTGCTAACTACTGTAAGGTCTAAAAATTCTATTGATTTGGCAACTGCATCTTTTGGCGTATTTGCATTTCTTTTACCTGGAGGCCGAATTGCTCATTCAAGGTTTAAAATTCTTTTAGAAACAGTTGTTTAAGTAAGATGTTCTGTTAGCAAACAATCAGCTTTAGGAATTTTGTTGAAAATGTGTAAGTTAATAATCTGGGATGAAGCACCCATGGTAAATCGGTGTGCTGTTGAAACTGTCGATAAAATGTTTAGAGATATTAATGATTGTAACTTGCCTTTCTGTAGTAAAGTAATGGTTCTCGGAGGGAATTTTCGACAAATTCTACTAGTAGTACCAAGGGGAAAAAAAGAAGATATAATAAAGGCTAGCTTAGTTTTCTCTGACCTTTGGCCTCTACTACTACATCTGCCATTAGTTGAAAATATGATAGTGCAATTTGACCGCACATTTTGTGATTATTTGTTAAGAATTGGAAATGGGACAGAACCACAACATACTTGTAATTGTATTCGACTTTCCAACAATATAATTGTACCATTCATTGATGAAATCATGTCTTTAAAAATTTTAATACATCATGTTTTCCCAGATATAGAAGCATATGCTGAAAATTTACATACGATGACAAATTGAGTTATTCTTACGCCTAGAAATGAATGTGTTGATCATATTAACAAGATTCTACTTGAACAAATTCATGGTCAGATTTTTACGTACTATAGCTTTGATGAAGCAATCGATAAATCAGAACAAACCTCGCAAGAAGATTTCTTGAATAGTTTGACCTCAAATGGTATTCCACCACATGAATTGAACTTTAGAGTAAACTGTCCTGTCATGTTACTACGAAATATCAATCCTTCCGAAGGTTTATGCAATGGAACACGACTTACTTGTCGAAAATTTGAGAAGAATGTAATTTTTGCTGAAATTACATCTGGCGAATATTCTGGAAAATATGTTTTTTTGCCAAGAATACTTTTTATACCACTTCAAAGTGATCAAACTTTAATTCCATTCAAAAAAACTCAATTTCCAATTAGGCGATGTTTCTCAATGATGATAAACAAAGCTCAAGGACAAACACTTGATTTTGTTGGTTTATATCTTCCAGAACCAGTTTTTTGTCATGGTCAACTTTATGTGGCGTTGTCAAGAGCTAAAACAAGTAAGTCTCTAAAAGTTCTACTGAACCCATCAACTGTTGAAGCTTCACACATCACATGTACTAAAAACGTAGTGTACAAGGAAATTCTTTCGTTCATATGTCGATAGAAGACACCGTCGAAGCAATGCAAGTCCAAAAGAGGAAATCATTCTATAACATTTGCAATAAACCTCTTTTCTGGGAAGTTCAAAGAAAGTCTCCCTACAGTTGTGATTACTTCTTTCTATACATATCTCTAGAAAAAAACATGCTTATGTTTCATTTTTACTATATTTGTTTTCCATTATAAGACTAAGAATGATTCAAAATTTGATTGCAGAGAATGGACAAATGAAACAATGCAAAAGAAACCCAAGAAAAATGAATTATAGTACCGATCAAGGTATGTGCATGTGACGATTGATCCTATGATAGTGTCTACTATTTCTATACGATTACACTAAATTTAGCTATTACAATATGTTTAGAATATTACGTCTTGGACTCTTAGTGCAATTGTCTAACTTACTATTGTTTTTCTCTTTGATATCATAGGTAAATAAATCAAACAAACGGGGTCACTCAACTGATTCGAAGTTTTTTTGCTCCAATTCTTTCGAAGTTTACAAAATGTGAATGCTTTTGTTTGTTTCTAGCGGATTATATGTTAGTTGAATAATATGTGCTTTATTCTTCATTCTAATCCTTTTTAAATCAATATAATTAGACATTATGGGTTCAACTTCTCTTTCGTGAAATTTTAGTATGCATTAAGCTAATTGTAGTTGATGAACCTTTAACTCATAATTGAATTTCTCCAGTTTTTTTCCTCATTTTAAGATTTGTTTTTGTGTGCTAAGTTGTAATGTTTGATTTGGTATACTTAGGGTTCATTTACAAAAAAAATGTATCTTAAGGTTATGATGACAACCTCTGGCCTCCTCAAGATGAAAAACATAGGTATTGATACACTCAAATAATCTTAAAATCTTTAATTCTTTAGTCGTATCCCATTTAACTTTGACATACTTATGACTGAAAACAATAACCATTCTCGATTTACAGTGTTAATGTATCATGTGAACACACACTTAGAATTTTTTTTGATGGAATAGTTAACTTACATAATGCTAAACACAAACCTATCAATCACTTATACCTATCACCTAGATTCAAATTCGGTAAAGTATCCCTCTTCTTCTTTTTGTATTTTTATTTCTGTTATTAATTCACACTAATCATATAAAATTTTATTGTTTCAATGACTCTCCACTACATTATATACATATACCTTTCATAACATTCAACATCTTCCATGCAGTTTGTACTCTATAGGCATCTCTGGACTCTTAAGTTCGAAAATTTATTCTCTTATAACACACCAATGATTTTGCCTTTGATGTCTTTCCATTCTACACAACATAGATGGAATCTTCAAGCAGCCATACGTACAATGTTCATTGCATGAGCCACATACCAAAGTCAACTATTCAAAGACTGTTATTTTAACATTATCCTTTGTGATATTCAATAATTTTGTTAGCGTGTCAATGGAAATCAAATTGAAATAGTACAATGTTGTTTGAGTCTTCATCTACAACTTTATAAAATCTATTATTGGCTACAGCTATAGTTTATTTAAAGTAGTAAACGTTGACATTAATGAAGTACAATAGCCATCATTTTGAGTCTAGATTGATGTCAAATTGCGGTGTGCATGAAACAAATAATTGTTCGTGGACTGATTGTGATTATCATGGGTGTTTATTCGTCGAATTAGTCTCACCTGCATAGATTGACGATATCAATGTTAGTTCATTCATTCTTTATTTGAGTTTGATTACAAATTACATGAAAACCCCATATTCACGGTAAAATTGAAATTCAATGTTGGAGTAAAATCAAATCATGCCCTACACCAAGGGAGTACCTAAGATATGAGATCGACGCCATTCAAATTTACGTAAATGAAATTTTATTAATATTGACATTAAAACATAATTGAAATTCAACATAATACTAATGATTCAATTTGGATGATTTCAATGGTCCATATCTAACATTCAAAATGTAATTCACGATAATTTAAAATAACTTTACATATTTAATACGCTAACATTACCTTCAAAATAACACATGCAAGGACAAAAACTAGTATATATAAAGAGAGGGACAGTCGAATAGGACAGGGACAGAGAAAGATGGGGAATTCGAAAACTGGAGGTAGAGGTGTCAATTCGGGTGGTTCGAGCCAGGTCAGCCCGCCAACATATGAGCCCGGTAACGGCCCGCGTGAAAAAAAGCCCGCCCCACTACGGGTTACGGGCCGATTACGGGTCAGCCCACAATTTGGGACTACAACCCTGGCCCGCTCGCTGAGCCACCCGGGTCGAGCCCATGCGGGTCACGGGTCACGGTTTGTTCCGATTTGACCCGTATAATTATATAAATAAAATTATAAAAATATAGAATTTTTCATATTTATAGCAATTTTTTTTTTAAATGTAAACTAAGAATTGAACAAAATGATAATTTATATTTATACCAAGAAATGTTTACATAGAATTCAAATTTAATGTTACATGAGTTATTTATAACATTGAAAAGTTAAATTTAATTTAAACAAATAACAACTAAATGCATTTCTAATTACTATTATTAAATATTTATAGTATCACAATTAGGTTGGTACCTACTTTTACTATAATTTATAGTTTAAGCATATCTCAATTAGGTTGGCACCTACTTAACTATAATATTTAAATTTTTTTATTTTTTTCACGGGTCACGGTTAACCGCAGTTCGTGAAGGCGCAACCCACGAAACCTGTTGATCACACCTCCTTGACCGGTGAACCGCCCTCTTAGGTCACGGGTCGGCCCGCGGTCCCGGGTCGATCCGGGCCGATTTTCACGGGTCGGTCGGCCCGTCCGTCTTGATACCTCTAATTGGAGGAGTGGATTGCAGCGTGGGGAGTATTAGTGTGGGTCCGGAGGCTTTGTATTAAGTTAAAATTATACGCTTTTTAGCATCTCTTCATATGTACGCCCTCTCTCTATATAAATACACACCTGCAAAATACTGACATGGAACTAACTTAAAGAATCAAGATGGAAGCTAGGAAAAGTACACCATCAAAATCTTATAAACTTTTCTTTTCATGCATACCCTCTTTTGCTTCTTCTTCTTCCACCAATCTTCTTAAAATCTGTTTCTGCTGTCCCAAATAAAATTCCAAGCATAAAATCCTCTTTTATCTTTGTCTTTATTTTCGAAAGATTTCCAAGCATATTTTTACACACGAATTCTTGATCACTTCAACCATGGACCCCAAAGTTATGCCACCTTCAAACAAAGGTCCGTAATCAATTTCAAATACTGGGGTGGTGGAAATTCAAGCTTTCCAATCTTTGTATATCTTGGTGCAGAAGCACCATTGGATGAAGATCTTCAAAGTGTTGGTTATCTAACTACAAATGCCTCTCATTTCAAGGCTCTTCAAGTATACTTGGAGGTAATATATTTGGGAAATCTTTGGTTCATGGTACCATTCAATATTTTGAACAAGATTTTAACTTCTTTTTCTTCACTAATATTCCCCATTAATTCTGTGTAGTGTGGATTCTGCAACAGTAAACAAAAATAAAGAAAAAAAAACTAAATTTTTTGAGCAAGATTGTAGGACACTACTATACAAATATATATGGCTATTGTTTGTTATGGTTTATCAGTATCAGTAGACAATATTTTAAATAATATTCCAACTTATTTTGCTTCTTTAATATACCTAGTCTTGCACTGTTGCACTTAATTTCTTTACTCATCGTGTAAAAAAATGTCACAAAAATCTAATATTCTCCTAATTCTTGCTTTTCTTAAGCACCGGTATTATGGAAACACAATCCCGTTTGGATCAACGGAAGAAGCCATGAGAAATGAGAGCACTCATGGATATTTCAACTCAGCTCAAGCTATAGCTGATAATGCAGAGGTACTACCGCACATAACGGAGATGGCAAGTAATTTTATTCTCCTACAATAACTCATTATTTATTACTTTTTGTCCTCACTTGATAAATCAAAATCATACTATTTACAATTTAGTCTATATTGAGTCGAGGTTTTCCTTATTGTGTGTCCTCACACTTACATGGATGATAGAACAACAACTCAGAAATCATTTTTGCAACTCGACGTTAGTTTTTTAGTATTGATAATTTGTTGCTCTAATTTTTGCAACTCAACAATAATTTATTAGAATTAATAGTAATTTGTACAAGGTTCCTTTCGGAAATAAGTCCATCTACTAGTTAGTTGACCAAGAAAATGAACATTATTAATTATTTCTATATACAAAACCCAACCCAGCGCCGCCCAAATTTACCCATTGCCGTCGAATCCGTAACCTCCACCACCTCTGCTACCTTCTTCTTCATTGTCAAATAACGAGAAATCAAATTACCTTTTGCTGAAATGTATTCGAGGTGATCATGGATGACGCGTAATTAACGGGGCAGATAATTTGGTTGCAAGTGCGCTCATCTTGTTGACATGATAATGAGCGAGTTGAAGCTTGATAAGAAAGTTTCAAGTCTTAAAATTGAGTATGTTGAGATGTCACCAATTCGGATATCGAATGACAGTTCCATGAAGTTTCCTTTGGAGTTGAAGCGCAGGGATCATCGCGTCACTGCATATGCATTGCTTGTCAGTATGTCCAAGGTAACTAGTGTGTTGAATTTATTTCCGGCATCGATATATCCGCCAATGATGTGGGTGAGAACGAGATTAATGGTGTTGTGACACAGCCGAAGTATTTCGTGACAAGATGGCATTGAAGACAAGTGTTGCATTGTATGCCATCCAAAATAACTTCCAGGATAGGGTATACAAATCAGACAATTAAGGAATATGTGCTCAAATGGGACGTGGAAAACTGTAAATGAAAATTTAGAGCTTCAAAAATAGGTGATACCAAGATACGATATATCATTAATGATCATACTTGTTCATTGGATACGATATATATATCAACCGAATATGTTACAACATTATTTTTGGTATCTTACATTACATCATATTGTTTGAGTATTACTACTAGTCATGCAAATTTACCAAAACAGCTACAGCATACCAGTAAAAGAATCTCTGCTCTGTGTACTAATTAGCCAATTGTGGATAAATCATAATTTTGACAAAAAAGACAGTATTCCAGAAAGGTAAATCACATGTCTACTAAAAGTTGGCAAAATTAGGAAAACGAAATAGATTACGAAAAAGAACAAAAATATCATTAAAAAGAAGCACGGGCAATATAACATTCAATGCCATTTTTTATATCTGAAAATTCGATGTGAACATCGCAAGGCACTACAGAAGCTTACCTTAACTACCAACACCCAACGTTATTCAATTTAACTAAGAATACCTTAACAAACAGGTATCTGGAACCCAACGCTATTGAATTTTAAAAAGCCAAAACAAGACAGAGATACAATAAAATGCTTCCCAAGTTACTACTTCACTACTCAATAACTATGCCTTTCATCTTTCTGTCACGCTTGACGCTTCGTGGCACGAGGTCGAAATCCGTATCATATGCTTCAATAATCTTCTCGCAACCGTGCTTAAAAAGTTGGCAGGCCAGGTTGGATCTTGATATGACCGGATCAAAACTCTCTCTGCCATCTCCTCAAGTTTCCCGTTTATGATATACCTGGCATCCTTTATAACGAACAGACTACAATCATGACAGGAAGTCAGTTACAAGAACGATTAGAGAATGAATTTGGGAATATAGCAATGTTCAAGCAAAGAGTGGGTGCTGACATTGCAACTACCATGCACATCACATCAGTTAAATGATGTGATGAATATTTGGTGTGATCAAAATGTTTCAAAGATGAAGTCAATGTCTGGTGATTATACTTATCAGTTAAATGATGTGATGAATATGTAGTGTTGTGGTGATTGAGCTATACCATAGCGGACTGCAATATAGCAGGCTAAAAATGCAAGTTTCAAACCACGTTTTGATTGCTAGATTAAGCCAGAACTGCGTAGAGTATGTCCACTACATGAAATCACACATAACTCCACATAAAGCATTTCAGACACTGCCTATTACACCGAGACGTTTTTAACCTTTTTTCACCATATTGGAGTAGACAACAAATGTAGGCATGTCTCCTAATTATGTGAAAGCAACAAGCTGTGACAAAATGCAAACGTAATGCACAATTCAGAACATATATCACTCCCATGAGTATTGCTTTTTCCTAGGAACTGAGAGGTTCAAATCCAACCGAATATGTTACAACATTCTTCTTTGTTTCATTATATTACATCTTACATCATATTGTTTGAGTATACTACTTGTTATGCAAATTTACCAAAAAAAGCTAAAGCATGTCAGTAAAAGAATCTCTGCTCTGTGTACTAATTAGCCAATTGTGGATAAATGTATTCCAGAAACGTAAATCACCTAACGTGTGATGTCTACTAAAGGTTGGCAAAATCAGGAAACGAACTAGATTACGGACAAGAACAAAAATATCAGAATTCGAAAATATATGTAAAAAAAAAAAAGAAGAAGAAGAAGCACGGGCAATATAACACGGAACGCATTTCAATGCCCTTTTTTATATCAGAAAATTCACACCGAACAGTGACGTGAACATAGAAAAGGACTACAAAAGCTGACCTTAACTACCAAACACCCAACGTTATTCAATTTAACCACTGATACCTTAACAAACAGGTATCTGGAACCCAACGTTATTGAATTTTAAAAAGCCAAAATAAGATATGGATACTGTTGGGTTTTTTGATACCCAATAAATCCGAGCGATGATGTTAAACCGGTTTTATGTTGGATTGGTCTTCATAGGCCTCGGTCGATGATTGAAGTGGAATATCGATACCACAATGAACGTACCATCCCGACACCCTAAGTGGGCCATTTGAAGTAGCCTAATTTGTTTAGTGTTGCTCATGGCTCGGCCCATTACCTTAGACGGCTTTTAGTTGATAGCCCACTCGTTTGTTGAACTTATTGGGCCTCTACTTTGTGTTTAACCTAAAAGCCCATTCCCTCGCCCTATATGTGCTACCCGGTTTCTAGTGTTGTGTGTGTTGAAGAAAAGAA